GCCATCTGCTGAGGCCGACTGGGGTTCAAGGAGACAGAAGCAGACATAGAAAAAGCAACTGTAAAAGACGACGCAATCCTGGAAACGCACACAAAAATAGCTAAGAAAAGTTATGTTGTGCAGCAGTTCTGTGGCAGCTAACTGTCCACTGACAGCAGGCATTCATGACTATGTTCATGTTTAAAACCTAAAACATCTAAGATTTTTAAGTGAATGATTATAGTCAAAAAGTATCTCTGCTTCTGTCTCCTTGAAAAAACTTTGAAAAATTATTTTGGGAAAGAAAACAGATAAACCCCTTTTTTTTTCGGTACCTGTCTTTATCCCACATTAAGTTCAGACTGAATGATTTGTTCCCCAAACCCGAGTGTTTAAACTACCTTGTACATGGCATAGGCAGTCAGTGCATAGCCACTGGAGGAATCTCTCAAAAGGCCGACCAGTGATTCTGGTAAACCGATCATCTCCAAGAACGGCACCACATTCACACCACTGTGGGACAAATTCAAACAAAAAAACAAGACCTTCATTAAAACTTTAAGAAAAGAAAAATCACAAAATGCCAAAAACAGGAAGTGATCTATTCAGTCACAAACTTGTAAAAAAAACAAAAAAAAAACAACATAATTTAACATACAGAATCTGGAAAAATCTCTTTTGTATCAAATATTAATGAACAGAACTCACTGCATGGCAGCATAATAGAAGGTTCCAAACCAGACGGAGGACGTTGCCAGATGGACGGGTATCATCACCTTCCCATACTGCTTAAAGGTCTTCTTAAACCTCTGGAAAAGGCTAATGGACTTGTCCTGCAGCGGGTCCACATCTACACACTCAGCCTCCTCTTTCGAGGTGTTCGGTGATGGAGTTGTAGACGCAGGATACACCCTGTCATCACGTGGAGACTCCTTAGGCTGATCTGCTACTTTGCAGGAAGCTGAAGCGGAGATCCATCGTTGGCCAACAGGCTGTAGCAGCGACAGACGGAGAATACAGAACCTGGGCGCCAGTTGATGTTCAAGAACAGCTGCACCCACTGAGCATGAGCGCACAGCCACCATCCGCCACAGTGTCCCGTGAGTAAGGATGTGCTGCATCATCTTCCTCAACCTTAACTTCAAGTCTTTTCCCCCCCGCTGCCTTGATGTTCAATCACAGACTGTAGGGAAATAAATATAAACAATCATCTTAACTTAGAAATAATACCCACTGGTCAGAGTCTGAAATAAACACTCGCCAAATGAGAAATTTTTCATTTGCCGAGTCAATGCCAGAGTCCTAGTGATGGGTCCAGCACCACAGATGCATAAGTGCATGCGTAGAGCCCATAGAGCAAAACATTGTATCGGTGCGCGTGTCGTTTTATGAAAGTCATGTGACTGATACAGGAGTTTTTTTCTAACTGACTGACTCAATAAACTGTCAACATGATTCATCTGCTAAAAAAAAATATGTCTCAAATTTTGCAGTTTATTATTACATTATCCAGAATTTTGGAGCAGCCTAAAAGAAACAGGAACTTTTCAGCCCTTGGGTGTTTTTATTTTAATTTTTTCGTTGCGTCATCCTTTTCCTCTCAGTTATCACTCAACGTATCTAATTTAAAGTTAATTTCAAATTGACTCTTAGTTTATTTAATGTTTTTACGGTATTAATTGTTTTGAAATTATATAAGAGCCTAGTCCACAAGCATCCTGATTCACATTTTCCCCTGAATTTTCACCTTATGAGATATATTATTTATTGGCTGCATATAAAAATATCAAAGATATTTTTAATTTAAACATGTATATGAAATATTATAACCTATTATAACTTAAATCTTATCATAGTACTAGGTCATCAAATCAATTCAGTTTAGTGTTTCAGATAAGCTGCTTGTAGTGTATTTAAAGGTCCAGCAGGTGTCAGTATCCTGTGAGACAGTATCAATGCAGTTTGGCAAGGTGTCCACACGCTTTAAAATGCCTCATTAAATTACAGAACACCATTCGCCACAAGATGAGTAAATGTTTGGACCACAGTTGGGCTTCAGTAACATCCTACGTCTTTTATTTTGGCGAGTCCCCCCTCTGTCCTTTTGTTCCTCTGCGGTCTGTTCGTCACGCCAACAGACAGACACGCATACACAGAGAACACCAACAAAACCAAGTCATTTAACAACTCACTGATGTGGTATAAGGTTGGAAGAAGCAAGCCTTCTAAAAGAAAACCTCCGGATGAGGAGGGGCAGTGAGGATCTATAGCCCCCAGAGCCTGAAAATTACTTTAGAAATATATTTTGGGGGAGGTTATCAGTTAATGACTATAGGTCTTATGTTGTGCTAATCATTATTCAGATTAATATGCCGCTTTCATTTTCCACCTTCTGTCTTCCTAGCTATAGTTTCAGCCAGGAAAACATATTTTTAGGATGGAAAACCTTTCCAGGGAAAAGTCTTGTAAGGTTACCTACGCAGCTTAATATATTCCTAACTCAGAGCAACGCATACATATGCAAAATGTTTGCTTTGACCATTTTGTTTTCTGCAACAAAATAAGCAGTTTTAAGAACCCCCTTTATTACGTAGTGAATGTCAAATTTTTTTATTTGCAAGAGATTTTTTTTTTTTAATGACAATGCCAAGCTAATGAGCTGCTCAGTGTGCAGCAAAAAAAGATTGGACGCAATTTGTCGCTGGCTGTCAGTATAGGGAACTAGAGCTCGTTAGTGATCACAAACGCAGTAAACGCAACATTGGCTGGATGTCCATGTCTCAGGCTCAATCGAAACAACCCATGCCACAGCAACTGAGAGTGTTCTGATTGCTATATCAACACTAACACAAGATGAAAATATTGTTTTGCACTTTCCAGGCCGTTGGAAAAAAGGCTACACTTTATTTTAAATGGCAATACAACACATCTTTTTGAACGGTTTTATTTATGGCCACTAAATCAAATAAGTATTTTTTTTACAAAGTTTAACTTGTCTCTATATAAATAGTTTTCTATTTATGTATATAAAAGTTATAGAGCTTAATGGACTGAAAGAACTTAATTTAAAATCCTCCACATTACTTATTTGTATTACTTTAGGAGCTCTCTTAGGCCAAGAGATTGCTGTAGATATCTTAATTTCTGCAATTCAGTGAAGTAAAGTAGATGAAAACAGTGTTTGTTGTCTCACATCCACATGAATTAATCTTTTAAAGATTTTATACATTGCGTCAATTAATCTGTGACTGTATGGAGAAAATCTAGTTGACAGAAGCTATGATAGCATTACCAAATTAAGTTAGTCATTTAAGTGTAGCTGATCTAATATTCAAAGAACTCATTTTATGACATTTAATAGCTCATAAGTTACAAGGAGTCTCCCAGTATTCAGCACAAATTCAGGACATACATTGCTCAACATGACTGATATATTGCAACACAGCAATGGCATTACAGAAAAAAAGAAAATAGTAACACCATTATATTGGAGGAATGTCTATGGAAGAGGATTCTGGCCACTGAAAAAGTTAACTGGTTTTTAAATACTTCAGTTTAGTATGAGAAAAAAATTCAGAATTCTGACTTTTTTTTCCTCAGAATTTTGCCAGCTAACAAACACGATAGCATTAAGCATTAGCCATGTCTGTTTTAGAGACTAAACTAGCTCTCTTGTTTTGATTACCACCTGCTCTTCCATTAATGCAATGGCATCACCAGGGATCCCTTAGACATGTAAAAAGTCGCCTAATTCCGTCATTTTTCACAAATATGTTAATGGCCCTCACAAACAACTCACTTCTTTGTCAGTGAAGCTGGGTGCTCCCACATCCCTTCCTTCATGGTGCCCATCTACATTAAGATCCACAATTCTGAGATTAAAATAAAAATTCTAAGAAAAAAAGTCAGAATTCTGACTTTTTCTTCATATTAAACTGAAATATTTAAAAATCAGTTTACTTTTTTTTTCCAGTGTGCCCTAATCCTTTCTTTAAGAAGCTATGTGTGAAAGTTTGAAAATAGTGTATAGCTGTTGTATTCAGTCATGCTAAGCTAGCTGACATTGGGCATGCTGGAGGACAAAAACCACGGATCTAGTTTCCTTAGTTAAAAATAGCTCAACCAAAAAAATCCAGGGGAACGGAGAATGTTAATATCCTAAGCAAGACTTAACTTCCTCGCTAAAATGAGAAGGAAACGGAGGTTAGGAAAGGCCACGTTCTGAACAGTAGCCAACTTTGCTATTGAAACTAGTTAGCTTTGAGCTAAAGGCGCTGTGAAGCTGGCTCTCTGTGAAATAAGCTGTAATTAGCTCTGTGGGGAAGTATTCTACAGCTAAAGAAGGTAAACCTGAACTTACGCACTGTTTTGGGTCAACTTTAAACTCAGCGGACTCTTGCGGGCCATCAAATGTTCCAGAAGCACATTGAGCAGCAGACACCAAGGAGAGCAGCATATCCCTGAGCGTCCAGCCCCCAACCTAGCATTGCTACCTGGGAATTGTAGTTTATAAAGTGATGAATTGTTGAGGATACATCCAGAGTGAAAACTACATGTCCCAGCATCTAAAGTTTTTAGAGAGGGTGAAGGTTCATCTGGCATGTTTACAGCAAAATGTTAGGTTTGCACAATTTTTGATTAACTTTATTCGAACAGGAACAATAACAAGATAATTTTTACGGCTTAAAACTTTTGGTTCAAAAGCTACTTTCTAGGATTTCTCCACGATATACTTATATCGTTCATCTTCAATGTACAAATGTTTGGAAAAATAAAATAAAACATTAAAAAATATATAATATAAAAAAATAATGAAAGGGATCCATCGATCACTTGAAAAATTAAGTAGAAAACTTAATTTATTTTTCATTCTTGTTAGAACACCTTAAATTTTTTTTTTCAAATATAGTACACAGTGGTTTAGATTTAACATACTTAAAATTATGAATGTTATATTTATAATTAATAGTCATGTTATTAACAAGGAATTCAAACCTTCTTCATCACGGATACTCTCATAAAATATTCTGGGTGGACAAAATAACATGAAGAGGAGGGTATATAAAGGTTGCCTTAAGTTGTCTTAAAACAATAAAACAGATGTTCTGTTGTTTCCCTTTGTGGTTGATTACATCAACCAATTTTAAGGATAAATACTTAATTATAGGAAATGTACCTATTTTTTTTTATAGAGGTCAAGGAAGGCATCAACATTTTTGTTCTCAACGGCAATTGGGTTTTCTTTCTATATGTAATTTTAGTTTTAATAATTTAATTATAACTTTTATTAATTTGTAATTTTTCAGTTTAACTTTGTAAAGAAGTTATTCCATTTTCTATGAGGCAAATCTAAATTAGCATAGGTGTCAAGTAATGAAGTACAAATACTTTGTTACTGTACTTAAGCACACTTTTTAGGTATCTATACTTTACTCCATTACTTGTTTTTCTTCCTACTTCTGACTTCTATTCATTACATTTTCACAAAAGCATCTGTACTTTCTATTCCTTACATTTTTAAAACAAACGTTACTCATTACTCTTGGCTTCAGTTCAATGTTTATAATAATTTATTTCACGTCATGTGCGCCATCCAATGCAGATCATTG